TCTTCCGCTTTTGCGCTCTCTTTTTTCTAGCCAGCTCAAAATCATCGTTAAGGAATTTCCTTGCAAGTAAATCGTTTTGATGTGCTTGCGTTTTGCGAAAATCTACAGATAACTTTCAACGTCTGCATAGCTGCGTGTTTCCAAGTGCCTCATTTACTGTATCATGATAATAATGTTCACCCCCCACTAAGGGGTGGCATACAAGCATGCATGATCATAAGTTACAGTGAGAGCGGAGCACATCTGGGGATTTGCGGGTTCTGAGGACTGCGCCAAAATAGGACGATTTCATAAATTGTGAGAAATATTGGATCTGGACCCACACCCGCCTACACCAGCATGGGAAAGGATACACAGTTACTAAGAGTGTATCTTTTTTGGGGTGAGGATATACCAAGGTGGCGGGCAGAAATGGAACGACAGAGCAAAGAAGGCATGCTTCTTCGTGCATGATGAGACAGCTTCAACTTGAGAAAACCGCTTAACCAGAAAAACGAACCTGGTGCGGTGTCTGGATCTGGCTGGTCCATGCGAACTTAAGACTAAGACCACCGATGAGGTGTGTTCGGTCTTGTACGGTTGGGCTTATATTCAGGGCCATAAAAAGGAGAAGTGGGGATAATGGGGTGGAGGGTCGTTAATAGGGATAAGTGGTAGCTGGAATCTCATTCACACGGTGTACGCTGAAACTGTAGAGATTCACAAATGTCACTTCTCGAGTGGGGTCCGGGGTAAAACTTTGCCGGGGGAGCGAGTTTAGTGCTAACCCACAAGACGGAACGTGAAGTGCACAGAAAATGAATCACTTTGGGGGGAGCATGGAATGAAATTCAACGAGAATTTAACATCTGAAACGGGAGGTTCAGCTGATTAGAATGAACGAGTAGGAGGCGGCTGGGGCAAGGTGGATAGTTCTTTCACAGTTAGGGGTGGGGGCGCGAATGAGCGAGGGCATCGCCAAAGGTAAGACGGGTATTCTATCAAACTGGGTATGGCAGTGCTTTGCCATCATTGCGCTGACATACTTCGTTTTCTGTTCAACCCTGTGATAAACGCCATGTTTGATGTGTTTGGACTGGGATGTGCTGTTCTGTGAAAAGCAGGATTTTTCGGGTTGGTCCACGCTATCCGCTAATGTAAGACTAGAGCGCTGTAAGGTCTCAGGTATTTCTTGGTCCGGACGGGGAACCCTTCGGATGCGAAGCACAGATCAGATAATAACCAAAATGGGCGTCCGAGTCAGGTAAAGCCGAAGATCAGTGCTCGGGAAGTAGAGGGAATAGAATGAGACCAATAGGGTTTGGTAAGTTTTGGGAGGCATCGGATAGGGGTAAGTCTAAAAAAGGGAAAAACTGAAAGTTTACCACGATTGGGATTGTGACAGCATGTTGTTAAATGGGAGAGGATTGAGGTAGATTTGTACTTAGTGGCCCGGCAATCCATGACTCACTGAGCTTACCAATATAAGCTACTGTATTAACGGAGACAGAGAAAATCATTATAGGTACGCGAAAATGCGAGGTGGTAAGGGGAAGCAAATACAAGATCCTACGCAGGTAGAACTTGCGGGATGACTGACTAGATTTTGTGGAGGTCACTCCATGCATTGGATAATACCATGATCTAGGAGGGGAAGTGAATGTAAGAGCAATGACCACCTATTAGCGAGGCAAGGCTATCGGCTTCAGTCAGCATGTGGCGCATGGCGAAAGAGCATCTTGGCGCCACACTTGTATTCAGGAATCTCATTGTCAGTATATCATTCCTTTTTGTATGTATCCACTCATGAAATGTGGGTGTTTTTGCTTGCTTGACGAGGTAGGCTTTATTGCGGTGCAACCCAGATTGTGACGAAGGAATCTACTGCTTTGCATATCGATGCGAGCCTTTGGAGTCCCAGTGTATCTTTAGGCTATTCCAAGGTATTCTTTAAAGAGATTTTCGACAATTGAAATGTCCGTTTTTGCCATATGTTGTTTGCGTTGTGTTCATCTTCAGTGGCAACAGACAGAAAACAACAGTATTATTTTATGGATTTTATTAGTAAAAGGCTAAATTAGGAATCAAGGGCAATTGGCGATGCACCCGTGCTACTTGAGTGATGACTTATGGCGTAAGGCAAGTAAACAGAGGAGGAAGACAGTGGACTACATCTGCCGGGTTAAGCGTAATTAGTAGGTCCACAAGAGCATTCTACATGTCTCTGAGATTTCAGTGTGACGTCAATCTGCTTAAATCCTGAGCCCTTCTTTCTCAAGACCATATTTGATAAGCGCTGTAAGAAGGTGTGTTGCCTCATGTGGAATGCCTCTCCGAAAGAACTTCGCGGTGAATTTTTGGCCTCTGGGGTAGAGTGACCGCCAAAACCATGTATCGGTTGTTTGTCCCTAGATGTGTGTATCAAGCCAGACTGTTGATCAGACAAGGCTGAACCAAAGGATGAACTTGTGGTGCCTGTCCACGATCCCTTAGTCTTCCTAAACATCCATCAGTTTGTTAATTTCCTTCAAACGTTCTATTGGTTCACTTTGTGTACGAAGTTGAGGTTTTGATGGTGACCACTGCTCCACGAGATCATTCTGTGTATGTGGAGAAGAGATATGGCAGGGAGACAGATTGCGTCCGTTTTCCTCGTTTCTTATCAATCAATAAGCCCTAAAGGAGTTTATCAAAATGTTTGTGTTCTGGTGCACTTTAATTTACGACTTCTACTCCTTTCCGAAAGCACTGAGCAGAACCAACACGCGACCAAAAAATTAGCTAGTATAGTACACTATTCAGTGGTGGAAGGTATGCAATTTCTAGACCAGATGGTGTTTTTCCTTCACATACCGACGCTTGAACATCTAGGGCGAAAATATCCTCGATGGAAAGAGGTTGACGATGCAATATAGTACAACCATCCCCTCAACTGCCGATGTTTATTATTACAATGGTTTGTCTTTTGCCCACTGAACCATAGGACGTACCCATTTTCTTGCAAACGTCCTCCAATATGTACCTTTTTAATGAACGTTGATGACAGTTTCAGACTTCAACGTCTTGTTCGCCGGAACTTGTTATGTACTTTCAAGGTTTGCAATCGTTATCGAACTTGATGCTACACATGAGTAGGAGCCCAGATATTAGTAATTAGGTACGGTAATAGACAATTTATAGGACTGCGTTCATGAAAGCTATCATACCTGTTTAGGGCCTGATAATCAGAAGCGTGCATGTGTTTGAATACTTGAGTACTACATCACGGTATTCGTTGATACATTTGGCGATTTATGATAATTTTCGTAGAACCCGCATTTGGTACTACCCTTTGGGCGTCCGGTTTTTCAACCGAATCGAGAATCCATGGATGAACCCTTGTTAGTAAAAATGATCCTCTATCGAGATATGGACGAACCGCTATTGAAAACCGCGCTATTTTCCAACTGAGCATGTTTATCTTAGAGCAGACACTATCGCTGCACATGCACGTCCACAGACATATCATACCAGACGACACCATTTACTCCGAAAATTACACACAACAAATCGTGAGTGATATAAAAGAAAAGGTGGAAGATTTGTAATGTACTACTCACAAGGTTGCTGAAAATCCATCGAGAACATCGTAAACGAGAGATTCACCTGGGTTCCAGGTGAGTCTCTCGAAAGAACCAAATTAGTTTGCAGATGAGTGTATGTTCGCTAAAAGGTGGAAGAATTTATCCAATAAGTAACACTGTGTTGGTCGCAGTGGAGCCAACTTTACGTTGTACACAAGTGAGCATGAAATTTTGGTGCAAAATGGTTGCTAAATGAAAGCGTTTTAGAATTATGTGTTCACCGACTAAACTATGTATTCAAACGTTTACTACCAAACTAATTCTCGGCAAAAATTCCCTTACTGTAATCATGATCATTTTGTTTTTGAAAAGTCTATTGGGTTTAAATTATCAAATCTTTGAGTTGAAAATATCAAAGCACACAAGCGCCACATTTAAAAGTTCATGTGGTACCACACAGGAGGTGGACTGTTGAACAGCTTGCGAATAAATGCATTGAATTCGGTGGGGTGTATGCGAAAATTGGGCGCCGTTGCATGTGTGGTTAATTTTGTCGGAATCCAACGGAGTTTTAGCGGATTTTTCACCGTTCCGCTTCGGCTCTCACACGGTTTGGCGCGGTGCTTTGTCTGTTTTCTCTGGTCTTATGTTTTGCGCGTTTGCCTATGCGTATTTTTTTGGCAGGCTCTCGTGTTGCGTTCCGTCTCTACCTAATTTCGCCTACGGGTTATAGTATGCCTGCTATCGAGGCCCTACTGGAATAAGTCTTCAAATGTGGAAGCTAATTATTTGTGCTTGAACCAACAGTGCATGGTAAACATCCTCGCAAGACTCCCAAATATGCGGCCTAAAAGGACAGTGATACTTAGAAAGTGGAGGTTTAGGCGGACTTACTTGGATGGAAGGAAGGCTCCTCATGAGTCGAAAGCACACAGGTTTGTACGTCACCAGTACCAACAGACGTGGTCTCTTCGTGTCCCGACCTACTGGATTTGTCCATCCGTTCTTATTTTTGAACTACATAGTGGAGGAATTACGCCTATCACCCAGGCCGGGCTATTGTACATTTTGGAGGTTACGAAAATGACGCACTTCCTTTGAAAAATTACGGAATCCTAGTGCATCAAAGTCTGCCGTCTGCCATTTCCATTACTCTAGAAGCCATTCTTCAGAGGCGAAATACCCAAATCCGTAATTGTTTTTAGTATACCAACGTTGTGTTATTCCACCATATTCCAGCAGCAAGTGGACATGAATTTAATGTGGTACATATTTAAGCTAGAGCTCAGCCGCTCAGTATTATTGTTTTCCAAACCAGCCACTGACGATGGGTTCGCCAGAATTTTTCGGCTGTTGAGCATAAGCAACTTACCGGGTTATTGGTTGAGCCTACTTGAAACTGTAGAGTTTTGAACTGAATGGAGACAACTGATAATTGTTTTACTACATGAGTTGACCAGCGAAGTGTCCTTGACAAACACCACATTTACGATTTTGTTTGTCTCACCCCAAAGATGCAACAGTTCCAAAGAAACACTGAAGTATAGCCAACCGGGATAAAAACGATGGCGCTATATCCAGCGGGCTCACAAGATTTGGTACATAAGTATACGTTCGACCACGAACTGCAGCATTCACCATACGGCAGAACAAAACCCTTTCACTCCCAATACGAGGGGCGTCAACGTAGTAATCGCCCCCATGGCATGATGTCCAATTACCCAAATCATGGGACAGCAAATTTCGGAGCGCCATTTCAACTCTATGATGGGGTTAATTCCAACCAAATTTATGAGTCTTCCCCAAACTACAAAGGCTCTAAGTCCGGGTCATTCATGAATTTGGCCGTGTCATCACATGGACAGCTAAATGACCGACATCGCGGACGGAAACTGGGCCAAGCAGTCTCCCAGTTGGCATCCACTAAATCCATTTCAGATAGGAATAAGTCTCTGGAATCTTTCAACTCCAATTGTGGTGTTTACCCTATGTCATCTCGAAGAGAAATCTCCAATAATTTCGGATATGGTGATGGTTTTGTGGACAAGACTACAAAGAACAGCGAAGTTAAGCGCTATACGGTGCCAGATTATCGATCAGGCTTCAACCACTGGCTTACTTCACGTGATTTCTCCAACCATGCACGCGACACTTACCAGAGAGCCTCTAAATATTATTTGCCATTATCCATTCACGATGGACAGCCTATATATGAGACAGCAGTAGGGTCAACCTATATGAGCCCAGTGAAGTACACCAGTGATAGGGTCTACTCCAGCTCTTCAAATGGCGCTGTGAATGGTTTACGATTGGACTACACTCATCATCCCCACGAATCACAACCGGACGTGAGACCTAACATTAGGGACGAACTATCTCCCAAGCAATCAGTAAGCCTGTATGCGTCTAACGGACTGCCTCTAGTTACCTCTCCGCAGTCGCCCAACCTAAAATCGCATAACGGATTTCCTGGATCAAACGGTTCGTCAACCTGCGCAGCAGCTTTGGATCCGAACCTGAATGATGTGCACCAACACTTCGATGAAAAGAACGATCTCGACGGCCCAAGACCATTGACCCCACACCAAGCACTTAAGTTGTATTGGAGGAGACTGAGTCAAGTGGAGAGGACTGAGATTCTGAGTTACCCAGAAATTTATTTCCTCGGGCTGGATGCTGCCAAAATAGGAATGAACGACAAGCCCAGCGCAAACGACGGTGCCGATTGTCTCAAGAAGCGCTCATCAGATAATCAAGGCTTTGACGATGATCAGTCGGGATACAAGCTTGTACTTAACGATCACATTGCTTACAGGTATGAGCTGATAAAACTACTAGGAAAAGGAAGTTTTGGCCAAGTAGTTCAGGCACGAGACCACCGAGCTGGATTTGACGTCGCCTTGAAGATCATCAGAAGTGAGGAACGCTTTGCTCGTCAAGCTCAGGAAGAAATAAGCATTTTGCAGGCTTTAAACGAGGAGGATGCTGACGGCCATTATAATGTTGTGAAATTACTTGACCATTTCGTTTTTCGCCGGCACGTCTGTATGGTTTTCGAACTACTGAATCTGAACCTGTATGAAATTCTTCAAAGGAATGATTTCAGGGGCCTTTCTCAAGGGACTGTCAGCAAGCTGACACGAGGTATCCTGGAATGCATGAATCTGCTGCTTAAGTAAGTTGATTCATTCATACATTTGATAAACCACTTAGTACACAGTTTTAAATTGATTTCATCCATGTGCATGAGATCAGAAAATATTCTCAAATCACGTAAGAATTATTTGAAAAATCCAAAAATACGTTTTTGCAAGTATGCATTGTGCATCAAATTCAGATTTCAAAGCATGATTATTCAGCAAATATGAGTCTTCAAAGGTGATAAGCGCAAGATTTAACGTAGCTAATTGAAAAATTTGACGTTTGTGTTTGTGCATAATAGGTTATTTTTTGTAGTGAAAAGCATACTGTGATAGCCGGCTAGTAAAACGTCGAAAGACTTCCTCATACTAATCAATAAACTAGAATGTTAACTTAAGCCATCTACGTAGAGATTTCATCTAACAAAATTTCAGTGCTTTACAAAAAGGGTTATTAAGAGAGTGCGAGAAGCGACGTACCACGGTGGCAGGGAACCTTCTTTTGTTCAAGGGCAAAGGTATTGGTTCTAAGTGATTATTGCTTGTTTTCAGAAGTTCTGAGGTATCCTTCTAATTCATCGGGACGAATTGTTGCTGTATATTTGCAAACGTTTTAGGAAAAGGAGAGACGTTGACTTTTGTTAAAAAAAGTTAAGAATAAGTTATCCACAGATGGAAACTAATCAACAAATAATATAAAACAATGAACCAAATTCTTTTGACCCTTGGAATTGAAAATAGGGAAAATGTGTGTTAAACTGGAAAACTTCGAACCCGTTAGCTTACAGCATTCTATTTCCAGATTATCTGACCTACAGCTTCTCTAAGTGGATTAGCCTCACTTTTCAAAGGTCGTGTATACAAAGACTTAAAACATGTGCAAATGTATGGGCTCCATTTGTAATCGAACATCATTTTGCGTTCCAGCAATGCTAGCTATTTTGTCCAAGTGTGTTATAGCTAGATGCATTTGGAATGGGGGCCATTTCGATGTAACCAAAAGAACGAGTAGATTAGGGAGCTCATAATTCATTCATTTGCCACCCCACCTGCCTTAAAAGAAGTTAGTTCACCTCGTCTCAATGTAAATCCCATCTTACACAGTTTTATAATTATTTTTTGTGGTCAATGAGTTCAATTTCCTGCACTTGTATAGCTTCATGAACTTTTATCCGATAAGAATATAACCCCATTATTAGGGATAACTGGGTTATCTATGCTGACGTTTTTGAGGTTTCAAAAACCAATTACTATTGTCTTATAAGTTACTTGTGTCATTGGTTTTAGCATTGGTTTTATAAAGGGAACAACGAAGGACATAATACATAATACACTTGTCTGCTGTCACGAGCCTGCAACTGCTAAGGAATAACCTTTAAAATTTTCGCCACTTTCGAGTTGCAGGCTTGAAACCTCATTTATTTTGTTGATCAAATAGCCATATTGGTGCAAATACTAAAAAAAGTATCAACTGATTTTAAAGACTCAGCTTATCTACTGGTCGGTCTTTGTCTTGAAAATACCCCCTTGATTCAACTTGCTCTCCACATGGTTTAGTGTTAGGGGTATACCTATTGGGCTGTAACTTCTGGAAGATTGACAAGAATAGCATGCCATAGCCTGATTTTGTGGCCGCTTACTCTCCCTTGAACAGTTCTTCTCATACCCTAGCGCAGTTATTCTGGTCGTGCAGCAGAAAAAACCCAGGGCCATCAGGCCAGAGTTTTTCTCACGTTAGTGCTTGCTCGCAGCACAGGTCTCCGCGACCCTAACATGTGAACTTCAGTTAGTTGATGCACAAGAACAGCGTTTGATCACCAGATTATTGCCGGGTAACTTCGAACCCTCATAGATGAAAAGGCCTGATTTTGATTGGTAAGGCCGATTCATAAAACAATAAAAAAATAGTTGTAAAAAAACCAGATTATTCACGGGTGTGGTAGACAAACAAATGGTTTGCTGCTCATGCCTAAAATGTGCTGTTATTTGAGAAGTGTACAATACTAAAATGAACAAGGGATTAAAAATTGCTAAAGGCTATTTGGCTTCCCTCTTACCTCCTATTCTGGACTGACTTAATTGCATTTTTGGTAACCCGTTTAATGTTATTTATCACATTTAAGTTAACAAACAAACTTGATTGCTCTGTAGCTTACCTTCTTATCAGGTAGTTTCTCGAAATATCTTCAAAGCAGATGGTATATCCGCATGTCTGTTTTTATTGCAGGCGTTTTGACTCAAAAGCCTTGCGAATGTGGCCACCAATTAGTCCAACTATGTCCTGCTTCTCCTACTAGCATCAATCTACTTAGTAAACAAAACCCAACTAGTTTGCATTCACCGCTATTGTCCAGTTTGTTTGTTCGGGTGTCTCTGTCCACAGGGTCCGATATGAATAGTGGTATAAAGCACCGGACTAAAAACTAACCAACAGCAATGCAGGAGACCAGCCATTTAAACTGTTGTTTCTCTTACTAAAAATTATATATATATACAACTTATCTGCATGAGTACGATATAACTAGAACGCGGGAGCTTATTTGGCAAAGTAAATTACATCGCCGCCAACTCGAGGTCAACTGCTGCTGTAAAAGCTGAAACAGTGGTGTGCATAGAAATAATAGCGAGCCTTCGCCGCAGCTCTATGGACATTGAGCAACACCTTTACAGGTTTTGGACTCCAAGAGATCTGCGTCTAACCTAAAAGCTTCAAAGAGTATGTATAGGTAGTTCCAGTTTTCGGCTATGTTGCTTTTGAACATCTGACCCGAAAGTTTCCAACACAGGGAAGTGATGTTAGTGTTTGTGACCTTTGTTTCGTAAGATGGAGTGAAATGACGCTTAATTTAAACAAACGTCCTTATGTATAGATTATTCAAAGCTTCTAGTTGCATAAAGGAGTCACGTAGTGGATGTGAAAGTAGGCTATTCTGGAAGCAAATGTTAACTGCTACAGGCTGCACTAAAAACAAAACGCACTTAAAAATAAACTCAGGATCAATTTCGATAAACGTATGCCTGTTAGGTTTCGCGAACAAAGTTTTACAACAAATTTACAAATACTCTAGGCCAGTGGAACCTGGAGAATACTGATGTGAACGAAACGCCGTCGAAGACATGAATCACCAATTAAATTTATGCTAGAATTCTACCTTTTGGTCATCGCGGATTTGATGGGCGATTCGGTTATCTGTGTTCTGTCAGAAAATATGATTGTAACTTATGACCAAAGTGCGGTTTATCTTTTTTTATTAGATTTAGTAGCCTACTCTTCTCGCGAAATGCATTAGAAAAAATTGTCTTCCAGAAACCGACTTCTGGAGCTGGTCTTGAACCAAAAGCGTGCCTCATCCGACAAAGCTTCACTCACTACTTCCGGATTTTTCCCCTACTTGGAGATTCGCTGCATATGCTACGCAAATTGTCTTGTAATCGAATGGCCCCAAGGTATAACACTGAAATAAGATCATTCAAAACTATTTTTGTGGTAAGGTTTACGATAAATTTTCTCCGTTTTACAAATAGTCTCAATTACTTGTGCCGAGCAACTGTCCGATCAATCTAATGGAAGCAGGAAAACACCTCACACTAGTTAAGATACTATATCAAATACAAAATAGGTGAAAGTTTATTGTTTTGTGTGTTGGTGATCAGATGGTTGTTGACCTACTCTCAGAGCTTGGCGATTAGGTTTCAGATGTTTAGCCACAAAACGAGGGGAAATCAGCGGCGTTCTCTCTTGTTGGTTTTCGTAACAGGATTGAAATTTTCAGATGGATTGCTTTTTAAAAGTTTATGCAGCTAGTTGCCACATTATTAGCGCCAAGTTTCTGGCACGTATATGCACGACAAATTGGTTTTATTTTACCGTCGAAACACACCACCTCCCTGCAGCCCTTTCATATCAGCAGTCTTGTAAGAAAAGCAGAGTACCTCTCATGTTAAACAATAGTTAAAAATCGCAGAAAAATGGAAGAGATCAAGCCTAGAGATGAAGAAATGCAGAAGAAAAAAGAATAAAATCTTCTGTACATTAGGTAATGTCGCTTACTCTTTTACAGAGAAGCTTTATTGGCACTTTGCCCCTTTTCCCGTTCTAAGAGGTCGTTAATTCAAAATCAAATGAGTTGCTTTAAACTTTGCGGAGATACCCGAATTACAAACTCATGTATGTGAAATCCGGAAATTTTTAAATCATATAAAATACCTTGAGAACGTAAATAGACAAATGTGATGAAATGTCGCTTTTTTCTAATTTTTCTAATTTTTACACGCTTATCTGGTTCTGTTACTAAAACATTACTACAACCCCGACTCATCAGGAATGTCTACCTCTTAGAGACTCCATTTTACGAACCATAATTTATGTTATGTTGACCATGTTGCTTTAAAGAAAATCTGAGTCTGTCTTCACTCCACTGTTGCTTTCCCGAGCATCCAATACTTTAATATGACTTCAGTAAAATGTACTTTTGACCAACGCTATAATGTCAAAGAAGACCTGTTTCAACAAACCACGTGATCAGACAGTAATTTCTAGGATATAAATATTCATTTCTTCAGTGAACGGATGTATGCCTTATAACGTGAAAATAATAAATTTTTCGGTGATAGTCGTGACTTAAATTGCTAATTGTGTGTTAACTAAGTCGTTGAATATGAGACATCAATAATGAAATGAAATACAATAAACAAACGTAATTTTCACAGCAAGTTTTGTTGAGCACTACCCCATTCAGCGTGCACATAACGGAGTGGTTTATCTTCCATATACTTAATTAGAATTTTGAAGAACAGTGTGCCGCAGATATACGGGGAGTAGCAACGGCCAAAGCCCAATGTAGTTTTGTGACAGTGAATTTGTCGTAACACTGAGACTATTGTCCCTTCCGTTGCTGCACGATACTTTCTGAAATACAGTGACAAATCTTTATCCGCCCACGGGTGTACTGCATGGAATCGGGTTGTGCCTACTCCTGGAGTACTTCACATTCAAACAGACATTTTATAAGCGAGAAGATGGAATACATGGCAACATT